TTTTTTTCTCCCCCCCCCCCCCCCCCCCCCCAAATATTTTTAGGGTCATCTTAAATATTCAGGATGGCTGGGACTCCTGTGGGAAAGTTTTCACGTTTTTATTTTTGCTTTGTAAACAAAGACACTTTTCCCCACTGTTGTTTAAGACACTTTTTTTCTATGTAGTTTTAATCGTGGCGTCCCCTCAAGGGAGGGATGCAATAAGTTTTTTATGCACAAATATGGGGAAACTGAGGCACAGAAAAGCTAAGTTGTAAAGGTAATTCAACAAGTCTGTTGCAGAAGAGGAAACTGGAGCTGTTTAATTTTCTAAAGTATTCTGTCTTCAAGACTATGCGTGCGTGTGTGTGTGTGTGTGTGTGTCTTTTAAAGAGGAGACTAAAAAGGCTTACTAGAGAGTGTAGAATCTCCAAATGTTAATGACATTGCTCTGCAAGTGAAAAGTATTTGCTTCCCCCATGCTGAGTTTACCAGTATTTTCTCTGCAAGTTATTCTTGCCTGCTATCATCAGTCCCAGAGATGGCTGCATTTCTGTAGCTGGGATGCATGGTATTTGTCCCTGAAAGCTTGCAAAGAACTCTTTCTCCAACTATTTAGTTGGTCTAATAAAAGAGATCTCATCTACCCAACCTTGCCTGATGTTTGTGAAGCACTTAAGATCCTTTAGACTGAAGTTGCTATAGAAGTGTGACCTAATTTTCCTGAAAGAATGTGATTTACTGTTCACTTCTTTTACCATGTACAAAATTCTTAAGAATACTTAATTTATTTAAGCAAAAATAGCTAGAACCTAATTCATGGGGAAAAAAATTACAGAAAACTTATGGAATCTTTATTCTCAGGGAAGAATGTCTGATAAGCATTTCTGTTTGCTTTCTGCATTCAAGAATGTCTCTTAAGTTTCCGAAAGCTATTTTAGCCTGCAGTGCAGAGCCTAGTCTGAGCTTTTGGATTCCCAATTCCAGCAGAGCAGAAATAATCAATATGATGGCATTTTTTGCCAACTACATACTTGGCCAAAAATAGCTTCTTCCAACAAATGTTTCTCAAAACGTGTTCAGCACAGAATTGGCCATATGTTTGTATCTGACTTCTGTCAAAATATTTCCCGTTTTTAAAAGAAAACAGAGTTCCATAATTAGCGATGAATAAGAGGATAATACATACACTTTACCAAAAACCAAATGTGAGGGGTGTGGTTTTTTTTTGTAAACTTCTGCTTCACTATTAAGGCTATTTAGTTAGCTACTACATTTGTTCATTTTGATATTTATTTAATTCATAAACAGAATATTTTTTCCCCCTCTCCCACTCCTTCCTTTCCCCCTCTCCCATTCTTGAATTATGCTGGCTCTTCTTCCCCTCTTAACTGTTTTTTCTCTTCTCTAATAAATGGATAGTATTGTATCCAGGTGGGAAATGTCTCTCTAAACTGTTTGTCTCTGCATCTCTGTTAAATAAAATTAGGAACTTCACTATCCATTACCTTTTTGCTGGACTCTAGCCTTCATCTTCCTTGATTATCCTCTGGTATGGATGTAGATAATTTTAGACCAAGCCAGCTGTGCCTTTGTTAAAAATAGTCTGACACTGTCCTTGCTTATTTCGAATAGAACCTCAACAGATTTCTCTATGCCCAAACTGTTTCTTTTTCGATATGCCCTTGATACATTTGTCTAAAGACAAAATTATCCTGATTTTGTGTTAGATAAATCCACAACATGTGCCGCTTTTACTTATTCATCCACTAATCCTGGTACTCTCTAAATTTAACGCGTTCCTGCGTCCCCTTGAAACAACATATTACAGCATGTTCTTGCAATGCCTAACAAAATAAACACTGCATATACTGTACTCTGCAATATACCCCTCCAAATAAACCTTGTAAAACTGACTCTCTCCTCAAAGTACCCCTGCCATTGTTGCCATTTATCCCTTGCCCGTTATCTTTTTTTTACAGAGGGGTATTATTTTTACTGCCAATCAGTTATGCCACATCATACAAGTATCATACAAGCAGAGATGCATGGGGCTTCCCCAACCAGCCCCCAATTTTGACCTGTTCCAGGACTGTGCACCCTATATATAGTTGTCATAGAAGATAACTGAAGTTGCAGTAATTTAAAACTCGGTTACAATATAGGGGCACAAACTTCCACCTGGATTGCCTGCCTGGATAACTTAGAAACTTCAGGAGTTCCGGAAACAAGGGATCTAGTCCCAGTGATATTAACCCTTCCCCCATTCTATCAAGAAGAGAATAATTTTGATTGCAAACCCCAGGCATATGCTATCAGTGCTTGGTTTCTAAGATATGATTGTTCATTGATTGCCTGTACTACTTCAAAACTTGCTTGCCCATGAGACCAGCCTGCAAGTTTTTGAACTATGACCTCTGTTACCAGTGCTCTTGCTACTCAGAAAACACTCAAGAAATGTAGTATGCCTTCTCTTTATCCTCTAAGCACATAATGAGACTTGAAAATATTCATCAAAGGTCATGCCAATTTGACTGTACTGTCTCCATTGTGAGTTTAGAACCAGTACCAACATGCCTGTCTTGGCCATTTGCTCCCATGCAGGAAACAACAAAGCCAAAAACAAAGGGTGTAGTTTATGCTGACCCTTGAGTAAGCTCCAAAATGCAGGGCCAGGATACAAAGCCAGGGGTGGTCCTGGGACATGTGCTCAGTAGGGGTGTGTGAAATGGGCTATATTCAATTTTCGGGCTTAGATTTGGCCCAAATTGGGGACAGTGATCTGAATCAACAAGTTGAATCACCGTCCCCAATTTCAATTCGGCGATTTGTACATAGACACAGCTTTAAATGGTTTTTTCTACATACTTTGAGGTACCAGGTACAGCTTGTAAATGCTGTAATGCTGGGGCAGATGGAGCATCCCACACAAGCCCCGGGGGGGTGGGAACCACATGCTCAGCAGTGAACCTGGAAGTGGACTGAGAGTATTTCCAGTTCACTTTTGGGGCTGAGCCCATGGGGGAGCCTGCCCATGTTCCCCCAGCTCAGTAATCATCCAAGTGGGGCACCCTGGGTGCCCCCCCAGACCCAAGAGGCACCAGTTGGGGGGCCTGCAGGGGGGGCCCACACACTCCTCGGTAGACCCAGAAATGGATGAAATGCTTCTGGGTCTGCTGCTGAGTGTACTGGGGAGTCCCCTGTGCTCCTGTGGGATGCTCCATGCACCCCATCGCAGCATTCACAAGCTGCCTGGTACCTTGAGGTATGTTTAAATTTTTTTTTTTTTTTAAAGCTGTCTCTGTCTGAAATTGTGAAGTCTTTCCAAATCTCTCTGAATCAATTCAGAGGGTTCCCATTTGATTCGGAGAGATTAAAGGGTCTCCTGATTCGATTCAGATTTGGAGATCTGGCCACCAAATTGGGACGAATCTCTGCCAAATCAAATTGGGAACCAAAGCGTCACATAGCCCTAGTGCTCAGGCCTGCTTGAAGCTGGCTACATTGCCCAATTTTTGTGACTTACCCACTGAGCTGGTGCCTAAGACGTTTTTCTGTCACAGTACCAGGATCAGTGAAGACAAGCCTGGAATCTTTTCCTTGAAATTGTATTTCTGACTTAAATGCATTCCCAGCTGATTATCCCAGTACAGAACAATTCCTGTAAACACAAAAAGCAAATCCTCTCTGTTGCCCCATTTCTTTTCTCTCTTTCTTTTTTTTTGAGTGGGGTGTAGATTAAGCATTGCTTTTTGGACAGGTTTCCAGAAGGAAAATCCATTTAGTAAGAATGATTGATTTGTTCAGGTAGCTTACTACCAGCTTGGTTAAGCGCTGAGTTGGAAGGGTCTTACCAGTAGCGATTTTTTTTTTTTTTTTTTTTTTTTTTTTTTTTTTTTTTTTT